CTGAGGTCGCGGCTTGGGCCGTTGAAGAGAAGGCCGCGAGGGCTGTGGCCGTGGCCGCCAGCATGCCTGAAAGCTTCATGGCGACCGATATTGTGAAGGGGGGATGTCGTACGAGAAAGAGAAAGGATGGTGAAGAGAAGCACGAGCGGGATTCCGGGTTTCCTTTTCAAGTATGTAAATCGTAGCCGAGAGAGAGACGGAATTCCCTAGACCGGATTTAGAGAAGAGGAAGAAGGGGGTATTACTTTTAACCTCATATCGTGGCTTGCGTGCCGTTCTCCCTCCGCTTGTCTAGTTCGTCTCATAGATGGCGGCATCTGCCGTGATCCTTGGCTCTCGGGTTCGACTCTCTCTGGACTCTGTCCCTGAATTTCTTCATTCTGGAGTCGCTCTGAAGTGGGCGAGTCATTTCTGCGTTGCCTTGTAGCCGACGATCTTGCTTTGGATCGTCGTCGAACCCCTGGTGTAGTTGAGAAGAAAAATTCCGCAAGAAGACTGAAGAGACTTGGATGTGGCCTGCGCCGGATGCAGATGCCGGTCAAAACGGTTCGCTAGAGTGCTCGACCAGCAAACTTACGAGTAAAGTTTCCGAAAGAGTGGTCCGATTTCTTAGCGGCGGCAGTTGGCTTGACTTGGCTACGTAAAAGCCAAATCTCTTCATCTCTCCATCTCCCGCCTGCTAACGTCCAAACCGTTGAGCTCAGTCCCAAAGCGGTTAAATTGTCACGATGGGGGAAGGGGAGGGGTTCGTGAGTGGCCAATGAACCGCAGGGGATCGCTAACATGCTTTTCGTTATTCCTAGTATTCTGTATATGCACTGCAACGACAGTAAGAGTGAGATCAACAGTTCTTCAGACCGGGGCCAACCCGACAACAAGGAGGCGGTAAGTGCTTGCGCGCCTGATCTGTCTGTTCTGCCCCCAGTCTGTCTCCCGTCTATCGTTCGTTGCGTGAATCGTAGTGCCATTGAAGCAATGGGCCCCTCTAGAATCTCCATACCCGTCATCCAAAGAGCGTTCGGACAATGGGGCCAAGTGTAGGGCTATCGTTTCTCAATCCGTAACCCCTGGCTGTGGATGTGTCCACGTCGGATTCTGCTCGCTCAGCAAGGCTCTGCCATGTTTGCTCCATTGGACAGTTGCTTGCCAAGTTGCCATAGAGCTTCATTGGTGTGGGCAGCACTTTTCCCCATTGGCGGAGCAGGATCCGGGGGTGGTGTTTTGACGTTTTGACAGGACCCATGTTTTCTTTCATTTCGTCTACGACCCTGGTTGGATCCTCGACAGGCCTGCCAAAGAGTCGTCGGCGCCAATGCAACCTCGAGTTAGGAAAGCAAACTGGCAGATCAAAGCATCTTTTCCCCATGTCTCACTTCTCATGCCCCCTTCATGAGCGCGCCGGCTTCGCGGGAGATGATGCCTCTCATCACATCAGCATCGCCAATCAGTGGAGTTGCGTTCGAAATGAGTCCGAAAAGGAGTGTTCTCATGAACCCATACTTAACGTTTGGGGTCTGACTTTTTGAGTCGCTTCGCCCGTCTTGGTTCCACTAACTCTTAGCCATTTGGCAGTAGTCATTCCTTCGCATCTCAACAAACTCGCCAGCCAGTCGTTCATTTATCGCGTTTTTGCTTTCGGTTGCATTCTAGTTACCTTCATTGGATGTTACCATGAAGTTCCTCTTCTCCGTTGCGGCGCTTCTCGCGGCTGCTCATGCGGCGTAAGTTCTCACACCTAGTCTTTAGTCTTTAGTCAATACTTACATACTTATCGTGCGAATCATTGGCTTACACAAACCAGCTTCGATCAACCCCTTGGTCCAACACTCAATGCCACGGGACCTTCAGCTAACTCGACGTACGACTACGTCGTAGTTGGCTCCGGTCCCGGCGGTGCTCCTCTCGCTGCCCGCCTGGCCATGGCCGGCTTCAGCGTCCTACTCATCGACGCCGGTGAGGATCGAGGCGAAGACCCGGCCGTCCGGGTTCCGGCTCTGCACGTACTTGCTTCTCAACATCAGCCGATCGCATGGGATTTCTTCGTCAATCATTACTCTGATCCAGAGCAGGCCAAGAGAGACAGCAAGATGTCTTATCGAAAGCCGGATGGAGAGATCTATGTCGGTCTCGATCCACCACAGGGGTCTGAGCAGTTGGGAATCCTGTACCCTCGTGTCGGTGCCCTTGGTGGTTGCTCCCAAGTAAGATGTCTCAACCTTGCCTTGACTGGTGTTCTATAAGCTGACGGTCCCGAAGCACAATGCTCTCGTTACCATTCTGCCTCAAGACAGTGACTGGGACAACATTGCCACCATCACTGGTGACAGCTCGTGGGAGGTAAGAAATTGCTGACTTTCTCGGCGATGGCTGGAAAGTGCTGACAATAGTGGTGTGCAAAGGCTTCCAAGATGCGAGAGTACTACAAAAAGCTCGAGAAGTGTCACTATCTTCCCGGTGGCCTCGATAGTTCCGTACATGGCTACGACGGATGGCTTGAAACTCAGACGACTCCCCCAATCCTCATCGTTCAAGACCAAAAGGTGCTGTCTCTGGTTCTCGCGGCCGCCACCACGATGGGCAAGTCCCTTCTCGGCAAGGTGATCAACACCGTCACCGGCCTCCTCGAGATCTTGGCCGTCGATGTCAACAACGACTCACCCGACCGTGACAGTGGAGAGAAGATCTACCAAATTCCCCTCTCCATGAAGGACCCTTCCTTCACTCGCTCATCCCCTCGTGACTTCATCTTCGACGTTGTCACCGCGACCAACGATGACGGATCCAGGAAGTACAAGTTGGACGTGGCTCTCAACACGCTCGTGACCAAGGTCAACTTTAACACGACGGGCGAGAAGCCCAAGGCAACTGGCGTTGAGTACCTTGTCGGCAAGAGCCTGTACCGCGCCGATCCCCGGGCCACCAAGGAGGATGGCGGCGTCCCCGGACGTGTGTTCGCGAGCAGGGAAGTCATCGTGTCCGCGGGCACCTTCAATACCCCTCAGCTGCTTAAGCTCAGTGGCATCGGTCCTGCCTCCGAACTCGAATCCTTTGGCATTCCCGTGGTTAAAGACCTCCCTGGTGTCGGCGGCAACATGCAGGACCGTTACGAGGTCGGCATCGTGGGCAAGGCGCCCACCGACTTTTCCCTCCTCGAGAAGTGCACCTTCCTCGACATGAACGGCACGCACAATGGCGAGGACCCCTGCTTCTCCCAGTGGCAGTCGGGCATCGGCGGCCTCAAGGGCGGCTACACGACCAACGGCATTGCTTTCGGGTACTTCAAACACTCTTCCGTCGCGGAGAACGGCAACCCTGACCTCTTCCTCGGTGGTGTACCGGCCTACTTCAACGGTTACTTCCCCAATTATGCCGAGCACGCCCTCGCCGACCTCAGCGTCTGGACCTGGCTTACCCTCAAGGGCCACAGCCGTAATAACGCCGGTGTGGTCAACCTGACAAGCACCAACCCGCGCGACACGCCCAACATCACCTTCCACAGCCTTTTCGAGGGCATTGGTGGCGAAGAGGACCTGCAGGCTGTGTACGAGGGAATGCAGTACGGCATCGAGGCGTTCGAGAACCTGATCCCACTTGATGGCTCCTTCGAGCGCATCTGGCCACCCAAGGAGATCTCGTCCGAGGCTGACCTCAAGCAATTCGCCAAAGACGAGGCCTGGGGTCATCATGCTAGCTGCACTGCGCCTATTGGTGCCGACGACGACCCGCTGGCTGTCCTGGATTCCAACTTCAAGGTTCGTGGAGTTGACGGATTGCGCGTGGTCGATGCCTCCATCTTCCCCAAGATTCCCGGGTTCTATATCGTTCTCGGTATCTACATGGCGAGTGAGAAGGCCGCTGATGTGATCATCGCTGAGGCACAAGCGGCGTAGTGTGTCAGAGTTCGCCATTGATGGACGTCGATAGAGACAAGGATCGCTTGGAAGCGTCAAAGAGTCCGATATTCTTAATAACATCATCTTCCATGATGCGCCTAATACTAAAACCAGATTCTGATTCATTTATCTTTCAGGAGGAAAGCAAGGTATCCCAGTAAAGCGGTTCCCATAGTCACTGTGCATCCTCTTGCCAAAGTGTGTTTACCTTGCGCTTCAACTGATATGCCTAGGACAAGAGTCAGTCGAGAATGAAAGGGACAAGTCAGCAGCTTTCCCCTCAGATTCTTTGGAAAATACATATCCCAGTAGCTGAGACGCCGATGATATCAGCTTGGACTTAGTGAGCTATTTCTCAAAGACGCCTCTCAGATGTATGTCTTGACGCTGGGTGTTGAAAGGAAGAGGTCGCTCAGCTCCGTAGCCATGCATGCGGCTCCTTTCAGACCTATCTCAACTAGAAGCATCTGGCAATTCCCAAAAAGCCCCTTTTACAGACCTTGGCTGCCTAAGCGGACTTCTGGTGTCATAAAATGGTGTTTTGCCAGCACATCCTCCAGGAATTGCCTTTCCCTCCACTATCAACTCGGCATCTTCGATCTGCCTTCAAAAAAATGTTCCCCCGATCACAAGCTTCAGCTGCTTCGTTGCACGAGGACAACCGCTGGTGCCTACGATGCCTTGGCTGGTATGCTGGTGTCTACCGAGGTAAAGAGGAACCTCCTGCGAACTACTTTTGTGAGAGAAGACGTACGTATTGCGAAGTACCCGATTCATTGGTCTTTTGCTTACTCGCGCTACGTCGTTCCAGTTTTGAAATGCGGAAGATGTGCCAATTTCAACAGGAAGAAGAAGCCCTGTCTCATGGTATTCGCTTCTTTCTTAGTAGTTGGTCGGAGATGCTGAGTTCCATCTAGATTCAAAAGGAGCAGTGGCCCAAAACATTGGAGATCATCGAAAAGACCAGGGACATCATGCTGGCGGAACAGTCTGAGGGCAAGATTTTTGGCCAGGCAAGTTGAGAATGAAGATAACCAATCCTTTCTTTTTCCCGAAGACTTGCTCACACTCACCTCATAGGACCGGGCAGCCATCAAAGATTTATATATGCAAGTGGACAAGGCGACCAGGGCTTACCACGACGCCCATTTGCAAGACGATCAACAATCAGCGGCTTCGGAAGCTGGTTCTTCGATGGCCTCTAACCTGGAGTCTGACGACGAAGAGGTGGGCGACGAGATTCATTGCACCCTGAGCTTCGCAGGAACGAGCGGAGGTAGCCGTCCGCCCAACACCAATGGCCTCTCAAAGATCTCGAAGGCCATGGTAGATATCAGAAGACTCGATGAGGAAAAGGCAGAAGCATCTCGCCGCCTGGGACGAGCAGTTTGGACTGCGGGACGAGACCCGCAAGCGATCGGACCATCGGATCACTTGGTTCGGCTCGTGGTTGACGCGCTGCATCGTGACGTTCGTCAAAGCGATGCTCGGCACGGTATCTCGTACGCCTTCAAGGCTGTTGACAACGCTCACGACGCCCGGGAGGATGCCTTCCGCCGGTTGGGCGACGCTGCTCTTGCCATCATGCCAGCCAACTCCACGCCTGAGGGCACAGGCCCATCGGGATTAGGCCGAGCTCCTAACTCTCGTCGTTGATCTTGCAAGAAGCGACGGACCAGAAGCGACTTGATAGTAGTGAAGGCGGCTGGAGTATGTTTTTGGGTTGGTTTTGATAGAATCTTTCGAGGGGTCAGTGGTTATTCAACTGTTTGGAGCTGTCAAAATGAACGTGTGAGGAAGGGATTGACTTTAGTTGGCGGTACCTTAATTATGCACCAACAAGACCCCTGTCGTTAGCAAGCATCGAGCCCAGCTAAGACCATCGGATGACTCGTGACTCGCATCTGTATGATTTACATCAACAGCCGCACAAGTGCGGTTCGCTGTGAAGGTGTGAACCAGTGCTAGGAACCAGATGAAAGTCTAGACCATTGTTGAGCAGAGTTGATCTGCACCATGTCGTGTCTTGCGCTGCTGCTGCCAAGGGTTCTCCGCGGAAGGTTTGGTCCGTGGTTCAGCCACATCACATGCAGCCACAGGGAAGTCAAGCTCCCGCCACAGCACTACGTCATACAGCCATCACCAAACCAAAGCGAGGGAGCTAGCTCTACGTACCTCAGCTGCCATAGCTTGCCTTTGGCAGGCACGCAGGAGTCAGATCACGATCTTCGGCGCCAAATAAATACGCCAGAACTGTGTCTTGTCCAAGCCACGTCGCAAACACTCTCTTCTAGCTTCCCCATCTTTGCGTCGTTCCGTCTACCATCACCAACTTACTCTTCGGAAGCCTCCTTTGCAACCTCAAACGGCACCCCGACGAACGCTATCCTATCATGTCTGACGAACGAACTGTTTCCCAGGGCCAAGCTTCCAGCTCCGGCGGAAGGAACAGGATGGTCGACTCTGTGCAGACCAAGGCCCAGGAAGTCCTGTACGTATTGCCCACCATCTCGTGTGCTCGCGCTTCAACCTAACACACGTATAACAGGCAAGAGGACTACGACAAGGCGAGAGGTTTGGTCGCCGATGCTGCCAAGAGCAAGGCCTACCTGTACCCTATCAAGGGAATCATCTACTTCGCAACTCACCGAACGCTTTGGAAGCCCCTCCTGTCACGCATCGGATCCTACCTGCTCCTGTCTGCCGGTGTTGTCACTGGCATGTTCGTCTTCACTTACGTGCCACAACTTGCGCTCCTCGTTTTCGTGAACGGTCCGCTAGCCGTCTTCACCACTGTTCTTTTGATTCTGAATGAGAGTTCGGCAATCATCAACTTCCTTTCGCGATCATTCCTGCTCCAGGACGCGATTCTGGACACCTTTGATGGCACTCTTCTCCTCAGAGACGAGGACGGCATTGTGAGGGAAGGCAGACAGCTCAGGCCCGGATCTGACCCCATGCAGAAGCTGGGCAAGGTTCTCAAGAGTCCCTTTGAGAAGTACAGCCCCAAGGCACTCATCAGATACCTCATCTACCTGCCCTTGAACTTCATTCCTGTCGTGGGAACCGTCATTTTCATCTCTCTTCAGGGTAAGTCCTGTAGGTCGCTTTCGTGTATTTCACAGCTAATATTTCTGCAGCTCGCAGCAGAGGTCAAGCTGTCCACGGCCGTGTATGTTTCTTCCTTCCCATAACTCGGACATCATACTGACCCTTCAACCCAGTACTTCCAACTCAAGAACTGGTCGTCTTCCAGAAGAGCCGACTGGCTGAAGAGACACGCCGGGCCTTACACTGCGTATGTTTGGGGTCCACCCGCGCATGTATTGTGTGCATTTGACTGACTTCTGTCACAGCTTCGGCCTAGTTGCAACCGCCCTTGAGATGATCCCTTTCGCTAGCGTTCTTTTCACATTCACAAACGCAGGTATGTTTGGCGAAGATTGGACTTTCGTCTTGAGTAACCACTGACGCTTATCTAAAGTCGGCGCTGCTCTTTGGGCTGCCGATATCGAGGCCAAGGATACTTCCATGACGGATAGCACCGCTCCCACGCTTCGAGAGACGGCACAAAAGGCCGAGTAAACGACGGACGACTGCATTTTGGAGTCATGTCTCTAAGTTCGACGGTGGGATCAGCTTGGCATTAGGAAGTACCGACCCCTCTTTTGATCGGATCCTCGTGCCACAGCATCTTGACAGCAGTGACGGATCTAGTGCGACAAGGGCCGAAGCTTTCAGCTGAGAGCACTCGCATCTCTTGGCGGGGCGGCGTTATTCTATGCGTCTGGCAAAGTTGATGAAGCGTATCTCTAGTAGCAGTCGACGAGGCAGAGTGTTTTGGCCCCGACGAACATGGGAAGAAGGAACTTTTACCGTAATAATTAATTTACGAATTACAACCCTACGCATCACGATATCCTTGATGTAACACTCTTAGGTCTTGCCCTGATTTCGCCTGCCGCGACTTGTTTCAGGCGCTGCAGCACAGGCTTTACCATTGTTCGCCGACGACCAGCTAGACGATCGCTCTTCAAACCCAGACGTTTGCCACCTGATACGGCACATTAACATGTGCTCCGGCGAAGCAGTACATCTCACTAATCAAGCGAGACTCATCTGGGCCTAACATAAACAAAACGAGTAGGACAAGACATCACGAGCCCCCGCACCGAGCCTGCCATTATGGCGTACTACTTGCTTCAGGAACAGGTAATCTTGTTTCGAGGTACACGGGTGGCTACATGACACCCACTGTCAAAGATTGGATTTTATAACTATAACTGGTTGCAATCGTGTTCGGCACTAGGGGATGACCAAGACGGGACAAGACTCGGTGCAAACTTATCGAGGTTCTGCCGGAGAGGCCGCTCGAGTCTCGCCGGCCAGTGGCTTTCTGGTAGGTCACTAGTAGGTGTTCCTTGGTGAGTGTAACCACCTCGGGATAACGTCCCGTGTCTGTGACTGCCAACATATCACGCTGTGCTTGATGACTTGCTAGTGGATGTCACGATGCGTGCTCTTCGGCGATATCCTGATCAGGAACTGGTTCACATTCGCAGGGGCGAGCCTGGTGATGCGGCACCTCTCCATCAGCATTGACTCTTCATACCAGCCGACATAGGACGGAACGTGAAGTCCATCCCTCTTCTCGTTTCACTACTACGGATGTATGGCATCGATGTGGTCGATGACCGCGAGCCGATCATGATACTGCCAGCTCGTACCTATATGTTGTGTCGGGCTCGGTCCGGGGCCGCATAGCAGTCGGGTATTCTTCTCTTGTGACCACCTGGATAGCTTCGAGTACAAGCTGCTCCATTCTTCGCAATCTTCTGACATCGTGCGAAAGGAGAATTCCAATGCAGGAAAGGTCGTTTCTTCCACAGCTCCCCACCAAACTAGGCCTCAGAGTTGAATGATATTCTGACTACCTCTCTTCGGCCCGCTTCAGCAACTGATTTCGGCTCATGGCAAGACTGAACGAAGTAGTAACATTCGATTTCTGTAGTAATATGAAGGTATATTGCAAGATGAGGCATTCCCGAATGATATGGAAGCTGTTATGAATTCGGAAGGAAGGAGGAGCATGTGTAAGCCAGTTGGTGGTATTACCTTCCCGGCATCACACCTTCCTTTCATTAGGCAAGCCGTGAGCTCTTTCCTGCTATAATTACGTCTTCCCCTTCTTCAGATACTTGCACACACAAAATTCCTTCCCCCGTTTTCCCACCTTGGTCGTCTCCTCTTCTCCTTCTCTCTCGCCCTTCACCCTCCTTCGTTTCTTCTCCTATACCCATCCCCAGTCACTCGAATACGAGTGAGCCGACCTTCATTCGTTCACTTCTACTCATAGCCTCGACTTTCGTTTGTTTGAATACCCCTAGCACCAGTGCCTCACCAGGTATGATCATCAAGACCCTGTCATGTGCTACATACATAGTACTGACGCCGCTTCAGAAGGAACCCCGAATATGAAAGCCTCGTTTCTCACTGTCGTCCTTGTGACGGTAGTTGGTCTGCCATTCTTTGCTACAGGCGTGACAGCTTCCGCCAATGCCGATGATCTCAAGCAGCGGCACGAAGTCGAGTCCCACGCCGCTGCCCTCAAAGTTAAACATCACGCGAGGAGCCCTCAAGATCCCAATGCATTCATCAGCTACGACTATGGATACACCTACCCGCCGCCTCCCTCTCCCACCTCTTACGGTGACCAGCCGCCATCGACCGTGATATCCTCTGCTAATAGTGACTATGGTTCGTCGATCATGTATTTCTGATGCTGCTCTCAGACTGACATACGTAGCAACTTCAACTGAAGTCGGCTCGGTCGCCAGCGACTCCAGCACATATGGCGTCTCTGGCTCTGTTACTCTGAGCTTGACTACTTCTGCTGGAGTTACCGCCACTCTCTCCAATGCCGTCACGTATCCCCCTAGTTCTGATAGAACTTCACGTTCTACATCTTCAAAGGTGGCTAGCACCATTGTATCATTGAATTCGTCCAGCTCCATCGCCTCAAGTGTATCATCATCAGTTTTAACAGAGTCAACTCTTTGGCTGCCAGCCAACACCTCCACCAGAACCGCAACGTCATCCATTATTGCAACGTCACTGAGCGCCAACCAAGCAGCTTCTTCAGAGACCATATCTGGCACCCTTGCTTCAGCGTCTGAAATCAATAACGGCACAGCCGTATCCGCGACTGGTCCAGCATCAGCCACTTACACGCCCTTGCCGCCATTCACTGCATTCAATTCATCGTCCCAGATGCAGACTGCCACCGGTGGTCCAATTTCAGCCTCTTTCAACACGTCCGCGTCGATAACATCTCTCTTCATCTCTTCGGGACAAGCTCCTACGTTGACTCAACCTGTGGAAAGCCCGTGGCCCACGCTCTGGAACTCAACTGCTTTCCCCACCCCGGTGACCATCTCCCAGACTTACCCACCCAACTCGTCCTCGTTGGGAACTTCTTCCGCTGGCATCTCGGAGTCCGCGAGTTCATTCATCGTAGTACCTTCCGTCGTAACTCTCAGCGGCAATGAAACCGTTCGGTTGACAACTCTCTCGCATACCCTACAAGCCACTGTCGGATGGAATAGTACACAATCAGGTGCTCTGGTCACAGGCAGCCAGACCACACTTGGCACAGGCGTCCCCACCAGCGTATCAATCAGCTCTCGAGTCTCGGGCGCTCTACCAGTCAACTCCTCGACGGTTGTTGGCCATGTAAACGGAACCACTTCAAGTAGCCCGACCGGAAACTGGACCTCCCGCCCCGTCATTACCGTCATTCTGCCTACTTCAACTCTCGTCATCTCAGGAACAGGCTCCATCATCCGAACGAGCATTGCTGTCACTGCCGCGCCATGGTTTCCGGCCAACTCGACAATATGGCCAAGCGGTACGCTTGTCTCTATTAGTGAAGAAAGTCCACCACCTGTCCCATCTGGCACCGGTACATTTCCTTCGGCAGTCAACAGCTCCAGCGCAACGGTGCCATATCCTGCGTCGAACACGACTACTCTGATGCTGCCGGCAGGAAGTGTCAGCAGTCTAGTGTCAGGTACTTCAATCACTATTCCCGCGAACAGCACGGGCTTTACTGCTCCATGGAGCTCAAGCATGACCATGACTCTAACAAGAGGTTCCTCTGTGGGAACAGTAGTCATCACAACGATCGGGAATGCCACAAGCATAACAGCGACGATTGCCACCCCTCCTCAGCTACCGAACTCGACGTGGGCCGCGAGTGCTAACGCCACTTGGACGGCAACAAGCCATTCCGGGGATCCAGCAACCTCAAATATGACCTCGATAGGAGCTTCGGCCACTTTACCTCCATGGCCAATATTCAACTCCACCCAGGCATCACTGACTGGCACCGTTTCAATCCCTGTCATCACCTCGTCGGCAACTAGTATATCAAATATTACGAGCTCAGTCTCGCCATCGTTCCCTTGGACCAACTCGACATCTAGCGGGGGCCTAACGGCTTCAGTCATTACCGTAAGTGGAGGCAGCACAATCACTTTGTGGCCAACCGGGATGACTCCCAGCCTTACTTCGTCCTCGAACGGAACGGTTCTGCACACGTCTACAGCCAATGCAACAAGCAGTTTGACGTCTGCAGCAGCATCACCCCCCTTTCCCACATTCAATTCAACCCAGATCCCCTGGCCCACTACGGTCAACAACTCTGGTATGCCCCCTTCCACGGTGTTCTCAGGAACCGCTGCCATCACTTACACTTCCATCGGAAGTGGTCGGCCACCTTTCCCCACGACCAACTCCACCAAGCTTCCCGGGCCTACAGGAAGCGGCACATGGGCTTCAGGGACGTTATTTCAAACATCTGAGCCCCCAGAAACATCCAACAGCACTTCGTCTACCGTCAATTTGCCGCCATTCCCAACAACAGGAAATGCCACTGCTATTCCAAGGCCAACTTGGATCCCTGGCACAGCATCGGCACTCCCCGTCACTACCTTGACCGCCACGGGAGCAAATGGCAGCACTACCCAAACACTCACGATTTTCCCCTTGCCTCCTTTCCCAACCTTCAATGGTACGGCAACTCCAGGCGCAACTGGCACCTCGGCCGGCACGGGAGTCAGTGTCACCTGGGGAGGCACAGGCGGTCCATTCAGTGCTCCGACCGACTCAAGTTCAACTTGGGGTCAGTGGCCCAATTCAACTGCGTCAAACATGTTGTCAACCACTAGTGTACCAATAACATCATCTGGTACCGCTCCTTTGCCTACTCCGCGAAATACGACGACGGTCACGAAATCAAACGGCACGGCCTTCTCAACGGGATCTTCACCCATTACAAGTGGTAATCCCTCCTCGTTACCTCCCTTTAGTAACTCGACCACCATCTCTGGACCAATCTCAACGTCTCGTTTCACCTGGACCATGTCAGGAACTGGCTTTTCTTCTGTGTCTATATTACCTGTACCTACACTGTTACCTTTCAACTCATCTAGTTCTCGGGTTTCTTCCGGCACCGCGCCGCCTTCTGGACCCTCTGCTCTTACCGAGTCGGCGGGCCCAGCGTTTACCAACTCTGCTAGCTTTCCATCTGGAACTCCTTCGCCTTGCAACACTGTCACCGTAACAAACGGCACCGTAACTCAGGTCTTCACCACAAGTATTCTCATTACTTCCGCCACGGCGAAGGCTGATCCAACCGTGGTCTATCCACCATCCTCTTCAAACAACACAGCGTACACCGCGTACCCACCCAGATCTTCCTGCAGTTCCAGATGGCAGAACATCACGATAGCGTCGTCGGCAGGGTTCACAAGTACATGGACATCTTCAGCCAGAACAAATCGTAAGTCAGACCCTACCGACCTATTGTAGTCAATCTAACAACATCACAGGAACATGGACATCTGTAGACCCAGCCACGACGTTTATCACGTCAACGACAAGTCGCTTGAGCAATCCCAGCAGAGACAGAGGTGCTCTCCCCGATACCAGTTTCTCCGTGGCCGGCACGCCTACCACAACCATCTCTAACGTGCCTCTACCTTCGAGCCCGGCTTACCCCTGGGGAGGACTCGGTCCCATTTTCCGACACCACAGCGGAACTGACCCTGTTGATGATGATGCGGGGTCGCCCGACGGGCCAGTGGTCCAGGAGAGAAACCGTGTCTGGTGGGCTGGCTGGAAGAAACACATGGATCGAATCGCATCTCGTGCTCGAGTAAGGGATTAGGGTGCTTGAGTCGCACGACAAGGACGAATACCTGTTTTCTTCTATCCTGGTCTCATTTGAACTGCGTCTATTGATGGACCAGTGCACACGTACCCATACCAAGAGTTTCTTTTGTACCGCAACCCGGAGGATGAAGTGCCAGAGTTATTTCCTAGCTAGAGTGAATGAAAACAATGAAACGGCCTTCCTGATGAACCAATAAAGTGTCTCAGGCCCTTGCCGTGGTAAAACGCCCTTTTGCCCTTTCTCTGCCATTGATGGAGCATTCCCCCTATTGCAATACGCCAAGACACCATCATCCATATGCGAAATGGAGCCCCCCCTAGCAAACCGCCAGCCAGAAAGTCTATTATGATTTCCCTACTCCCAATAATGTCCCTAACTGGAGAAATATGAACGGGCTACTGGATACCGTCCGGTGGATTAGAACCACTCCTCTCCACCGCCGTCGGTTTCCGCCCGTACACAACGTATCTATACCAGGCAAGTCAGCACATGCACCTCTTCACCTCGATCATCAAGAGGAACCCAACTCACAAAGGAACATAAGCATGCACCCTATGACTCCTTAAACTCTTCCTCACCGTCGCGCAAAAAAGCAGCGTCTCCTCTTTACTCCACCCCAAATTCCTCGTCGCGAGCCCCAACGTCAACCCCTCGAGCCCGTGGTCGAGATTACAATGCGTGTACGCGCCCAACGTCTTGAAGTGCGGGTCGCGCGGCCACGCGTTAACGGGCCACTTGAATTGGTGTTCTTCAACGTCGACGAAACCCGCGGTGCGCATGAGAGCGGCGTAGGTGGGCGCTGCGTCCATGTTGCGGCCTGTGACGCGGCCGCCCCTCAGGAAAAGGTCGGAGAGTTTGTGAATTGGGGAATCTGGGGTTAGGGATGCGTCGTCACAGCGGTAAGGGAGGGAGAGGTCTTGCATTTCGAGGTAGCCGCCTGGTTCAAGGTTTCTGGGGGTTGAACAGGTGAGTATTTGAATATTTGCAGGGGTTATGTGCATATAGAATGAGAGGAATGGGTGTGAGGGTGAGGGTGAGGGTGAGGTTGCGAGAGAAAGATTAACACACTCGAAAGCTTGGTTTATAAAGTCTTGATAGTTTTTGAGACTCCCTGCTAGCATGCGGACAAAGATGAAGTCGAACGCCTGAGACCAGGTCCAATTCTGCTCCAGGTCGTCAAGTTCCCACGTCAAGTTCGGAGGTGTCCTGTCATCCTCACGTTAGTGAACGCGGTGGTGAGATTGTTTCTTGCTTGATGAGCCTACCATTTCGGCTGGATGTTGCTCAGATCTACACCAATGACCTAGATTGAGTACCGTGTTAGTAGCCGTCAGCCGTGATGACAAGGAGCTCATAGACTTACCTTGGCTTCCGGATGTGCGTCCGCTACAATTTCAAGAGTGTCAATCTCACAAACCCCGAAGCAAGGTGAGGCAGAATGAAGTTGTATCTCACCATAATCCATCGCCCAGATCCCGGTGCCCGTACCGGCGTCCAGCACGCGCTTTGCCTTTTGTGAGCCCTTGGGACATAGGCAGAGCTTGTCGTCCAGCGTCACACTCCACATGAGATGCTGGAAATCTGGTTTGAGATGATAACATGTGAGCTTCTGGGCTCCCTTGTTCCGAAGCCGCGAACAGAAGGTAAGTGGAAGAGATGCAAACCTAGGCGTTCCTGCTCAACAATATCGTTGGGGAACGGGTATTCTTTTTTGATATCGTCAGTCAAGGACACAGCATTGAGGAGGTGGCTCGTAAGGCACTGCTCACTCCCGGAACTCATTGCGTGATATGTCCTGCCATTCTCCTCCAGCACCGTCAACATACTCGGGGTAGGCGAGTCGGTACTGCCATTCCGAAGCTGCGGGACATGTTAGCGTCAGTCTCTGCTGATGCTATCTGGAAATATTGCGAGAGCCATGCTCTAATGGCGTTTCTGGTGACATCTTTGGAGCTCCAGCAGCGCGGGATGTGACGTGAAACGCCGCCACGTAACTAAACATGAGAAGCTACAAATTGGGTGGGGGTGAAGAACGTAAGCTGGGCAGAATAAAACACACACATACCTCCGAGATTGCCGAGTCCGAATCAAATGTATCGGGCTCCTAGGACATAATTGATTAGTTCAAACAAATACCACGTAGTATGAGCTCTCATCAAAACGCACCAGAGGTTGCCCAGTGGCAGCCATATCTCTTCGCTTTGGAGCTCTCCTCGGTCGTTTCTCGATGTGGAATGTATGAAGGTTGGTAGATTGAGAAAGCCAACCCCGGTTTGGGTTCGGGAAAACCAAAAGGTGGATAACGGTCGTTCCAGGGATGGTGAGGGTACGGGGAAGAGGGCCCCGAGGACTACTGCGTGAAGAGGGCACGAAAGGGGAAAGGGGAAGAGGAGTCAGGTCGGAGCTTAATCCGATGGCACTTGCACGCAACATCAACACCGGGCATACCTTACGATTACAATTTTCTTGTCCGTAATTACCTTGTAGAGCAATCCCAATCCCAATCTCAATCCCGGCCTTCCGTAAACGCGTAAACGGGTGAATAAAGTAGGGACGGCCCCCCCTTTCTGGACAATCAGGCACATCATACATGCCGCACCTCCCCAGCCTTGGCCGGGTACCAAGGCGGGAGCGAACCTACCTTATCTAACGCCGGCTGCTACGGGGAAACTTATAATGCAGACTGCGAATACCTTATCACGGAGACTGGTGTAAGGTAGTGCGCGAAGAACATGACATCGCTTCAAAAAAAAAAAAAAGTGTCCTGAAGAGAAAAGGCAAAAGCTCGGGCACGGTGGTGAACTTTGAGTTGTGATGATCATGCAGGGACCAACAAGTGCCGAGATTGATTCGTCGGCGTCAGGGAAGGGGTTGGGAAATGACGGAGGGCATTTGTCAAATTGCTGGATTCAGAATTTCAAAGCCGCTTTATCCGCGGAGTTATCTTTATTGTGAATACCTAGGTAGAGTAATTTATACGGAGTACTGACCCTGCGCGTTCCATGCTTGCTGAATTATTGCTTCTCTGTTCATATTCTTGTGAATAATGCGCTGTTTTGTGAATGTCATGACTCGGATTTAGGTTTCTTCTCCCCTTGTGCGAGAGAAATTCTATCCAATCTTTCGAGTCGCATTGTGTCGTATTGTCGCGTCGTCGATAGGGCACACCGTATACTCCCCGTTGGGTTTTCTGGTGAACCGCGTTTGCTTTATTAGTGGGTTTGTTAGTCCGCGTCTGCACGACATTGTGTTGAAGGTAAAAAGGGAAGTACTCCGTACCGAATTTTCGCCCCGAGAATCTTACGCCGCTGCCGGAGCCGAGGGCTCAGTCGGAGAAAGTGGGCCTCACACGGCAGCTCGTAATCGACAGAGGTGATAATGGGACTTGGGGCTACTGGCCATTATGCCACGGTATCTAAGATGCCTTACCGGAAGGAAAGCCCACAATCAGTAGCTGATGGGAAGAAAGGGTCAGAGAGGCTGGCATCATATCATACCTCAACACTGTACTAAAGTTCCAGTTCAGAAGAAGGTCAATTAAATAACACACTTCTAAAATGCACGAGGTAGCTTACTTCACTGAGCCAAAGGCAGTAGTATCGCTGCCCAATCTCGATAGTATCCTCTCACACTTGCTACTCATCGTTTCAAGTTCCTACAAACACATAGATCAATGATTGAATTGTTGTTTACAAGTGTCTTTCTGGCATATAATGTACTCGTCGCCATGTGAGTTCATACTATTCCAGCGTCTCTACATACCATAGTAACCACCTCACGCAAAACACAAGGGGACCAAAGCTCCATACAACAGTGAACAGTATTTCTTCGCCTCAGGTCAACTTACGTTCACCACCTCCAATCACTCTCATCACTACAATCCCCCACTTGGATTATCCCCCGGACATCCCGGCCGGGAGCGAGTGCCGAAAAAGGCCGCTTACACAATCCGCCCGCCCATCGCAAGTCCCGAGCCAGGACCCGGGGGGTGACGCTCGGGCCCCTATCTACACTACCCCTCCAAGCCCTCCACCGACTTCACCATCTTCCGTGACAGGTTGTGGGGGCGGGGCAGCGCTAATACCCCGCAGAACATGAAGTCAGAGACTCAGACTGAGTGCCGGAGAGGGGAGGGGGATTAACACCCAAGTAGTTACCTAGCTGGGGATGGTGAGGGGGAGGGGTAGAGGGAGAGAATTACCGTATGCTCGAGTCTCGGGGAACTATCAAATGACAATGTGCTGACATACCTCTTTCCAAGCAGTTAATCCTAGGACTTAGAGACTTGTTCCGTAAATCCGTTGTGCCTTGAAGTGTGCGACTGCGTCCAAGGTACGGCGGATTTGCGGCGGCGCGGCTAAGGTATCACCCGTCAACCGACACTCGAAATTCAGACCATCTGTACTGCATGGTACAGCTAGGTAGCCCACTCGGAAATCAGCGATTACAGAGCATTACATAAAGAGTGGCCCTCCCTCAGAAGAAGACCGCCTCTTCCAGAGAAATCCGGGGTCCTTGACATTAAAGACAGACGTGACGAGCAAAGAGAAGGCCGTTAATATCTCGGCTGGACATTTGAAAAGCGGATTTGGACTCTTGCTATTGCCCGCATCTAGATCATAAAAGATTAGCAAGCAACAATGGCTCAAAACACACCAGAGCTCCTGGATCTGACGATCGACAACATCACACCCAACACCGTTCGCATCAACTCGCAGAGCGACAATGCACGACTCAAGTACCTCATGGAACGGCTGGTCACCCATCTGCACGACTTTGCGCGGGAGACGCGGTTGAGCACCGACGAGTGGATGGCGGCGCTGAATTTCCTCGTCGGCTGCGGACAGATTAGTAGCGACGTGCGGCATGTAAGTCGGCGCGCGGTGCACCTGTCGTGAATTTAGCGGGTGACCTGAGGACTCCTGACGAACGACGCTGACCGCCCGACTAGGAGTTCATTCTTCTCTCCGATATCCTAGGCCTCTCCCTGCTCGTCGACAGCATCAACCACCCCAAGCCGCCCGACTCCACCGAAGGCTCCGTCCTGGGGCCATTTCATACACACGATGCGCCAACTCTGGAAAACGGAGCCAACATGTCGGGAGATCCCGAGGGCGAACCGCTGCTGGTTGTGTGCACGATCAAGGACCGGCAAGGCAACCCCATCTCCGGGGTCAAAATTGATATCTGGGAGACGGACAGCAGTGGCCACTACGATGTGCAGCACGAAGGGAGGACAGAAGCGAGCGAGCGCTGTGTCATGATCTCGGACAAAGAAGGTCGCTTCTTTTTCCAGGGAATCAAGCCCGTGAGCTACCCAATTCCCCACGATGGGCCGGTTGGAAAATTGCTGTCTCTGCTGGGGCGTCATTGCTGGCGGCCAGCGCATCTACACTTCATGTTCCAAAAGGAAGGCTGGGACCACTTGATCACGTAGGTTTCCCCGCTCTTTTCTCTTGCTCCATTGCAGGAGCTAGCTCTTTCAAGAACCCGCCGTTCGTTCCGTTCCGACGCGGATGGCCAGAGTTGGGTGAGATGGATCATGGATCTGGCTGACGCAATCAACTAGCGCACTCTATATCCGGGGAGATCCATATGAGAAATCGGATGCGGTGTTTGGTGTCAAGAAGAGTCTTGTCGTCGACCTCGACAAGGTGGACAAGGCGACGGCGGAGGAGTACAGCGTCAAGGAAGGCAGTTGGTTGCTGAAGCAGGACTTTGTGCTGGTCTCGGAGGAGGAGACGCAGGAGCTGCGGGACCGGAACGCTATCGAAGCGTTGGGAAAGCTGGGTCTGACACATCTGAAGCTAGTCGACCATTTGCCAGTGCCAGAGCTGGACTGATGGATGAAGGGCGAATTGTAGTGAAATTTGAAGTCATATGAATTTCCATTTTGTAACTTCACGAGCGAGTAGCTTGGGCGCTCTGACACCGAATCTGTGTTTGCCCGGCCATGTCAGTCTGAAAGGTTCCGTTCGTAGGATTGTTAGACTGTGACGGAGGATAGGGACATGCTAGTCAGCTCCCAGTGACGCATCGTGGAGCCGCATCCGGAGACTTGCAAGTTGTAGGGCTGGGCGCCGAAAGCGGGAGGGCCGGCTGGCAGCAGATGGTCATTGGAGAGTCGGGACTGGTCGAGGCGTAAGGTCTGGAAGCCGGCCGAGATGGCGTTGATGCAGACGCCGCAGACGCAGGGAGTCAGGATTTGTCTTGCAGACGAAACAAACAACATTGTGCCTTACTTGGGCTGGCGGTCTCCCAGGGGGTCCCCTATCAGATGATTGCCCATGTCTCAGTCCTGGAAAGTGCGTGATCGTTGGAGGTAGTGGCTGCCGACGAGAGACCTCTCGCAGCTGTATGATGCATCGAGGAAGCTCCGGTGGCGCTGACGTCCTGGCAGAGAGCTGGCAGAGGCCTCACGGTGGCTGTACGTGGAGGCCGGGTAGCGCAAGGTGCCGAGATACGAACTGCAGATGGCATCCATAGATTGTTTGGGCATCCCGCCGACTAAACCGCAAATAGCCAGGGACAATCATGGGGTCGCAGCGACGGCGCGCGAGTCGACGAGTCCAGCCACAACTAGGTGTGGGACGTGCTGGTGTTGGTGTGACTGTTGCTTCTGTGCCAAATGTGACCACCAACCAAACCTCTGCAATGAGATATCCATTCCCATAGTCGTCATCTTGTGCAGGGCAGGACTCGGACGGGGTTGTCAGAAACAACGTGCTCACAGCGAGGGCTGAATTTAGGATGATGGGCGGAGGGTGAGAGACACATTAAGCTATGCGAGGTAAAGAGAAGGAGCACATTATGGAAAAACTAAGGGATCGTACCTAAGGCAGAAGAAGATGCGGGTGATGAGAGGTTCCATTGCCTTATCTCTCCAAGTCAAGGTACCTTATCGGCGCAGTCAGCGGCTCACGCGATTCCGTATCCCGCTGGTTCAGCCAGGGCAGGCACGGGAAACGGCCAGTGGCCTGTGCCTACCCTGAGCAATAGTTGCCCCTCGTGCCCACCTGCGCCTTCCAAGTCCCCCAGTTGCTCATACCAGAGCGGCAGGGCCTAAGACCCAGCCAGGTCAGGTACCTTATCTACACGTCGCTACCTATACAGGCAGATAAGTCGAGATAGGTACCTGACTGCAGCGCTCTTTGTGACTCTGTTCAGTGCCCGCCCGAACCCGAGTCCGTCATTCCTTCCGTCCCAAGTTACCAATTTTGCGGGCTACCCGCCTGCCCACCCTAACATCAGTCACTGATCTGCAGACCCCGTCCACCCCCCATAAATCTTCCGACGTATATAACCACCCAGCCCAGCGATCCCTCTTTCATTCGTCTCCCACCACCTCATCATCATCGACTCAGTACAAGCATCAACAACATCAGATAACCGCTACATCAACCGCGAATAGCTACATTCTCGTGTTAACAACCCGACTACTCGAACACTTAGTACAGCGAGACCGCTCTCACGCCGTCCGTCGCTAAACCCCGACAATCGTCACCCAACCCGTTTCCCAAGGTCACCCCCGAACAGACGAGTTTATGTCAATTGAAAATCTCAAGTCCTACGGTATGTCGCCACCACAGTCGTCTTCCCTCGATCTACAATCATCACCGATGTGTTCCTTCAAGTCTTCTGGCTTGCTGTCCGCCTAGAGATCGGAACACGTCGCGTTGCCCCCTCCCCCCTGACCGTCACCAACTTGCCTACCAGAATGCTGACCATTTTCGCGCTTCAGACCCCTTCGCCGAAGCCGACGAAGACACCGGCGAGACCAAACAGTCTCAAAATTATATCCATATTCGGATCCAACGTACGTCGCGAACCTCCAAACCTTGATGTCGAGAGACACAAATGCCGCACGTCCCGACAGAGCGGTGTCACGCGCGGCGACCCCAGGCAACCAATCACAACATGGTGACTAACAAATGACCTGCAGAGCGCAATGGACGAAAGACTTTGACCACCGTTCAGGGTCTCCCCAAGAAATTCGACCAGAAGAAGATTCTCAAGGTCATCAAGAAGCAATTTGGTTCGGATTACCCCGCTTCAACCCCAACATGACATGGCAGCCCGCTAACATACCTCCCTCCAGCTTGCAATGGCACCATCGTAGCTGACAGCGAGATGGGCGAGGTCATCCAGCTCCAGGGTGACCAGCGCAAGGTCGTGCAAGAGTTCCTCATCAACACCAAGGAGGGACTCGGATTGGATTCCAAGACCATCAAGGTCCACGGTTTCTAAGCACGCCGCAAGTCGCCACCGTTCCTACCAGCCATGGCCAAATCGGCCACGACTGACGTCCGGGCCTGAGAATAGCCACGAGGCATAGCAGCCTCCCGCCTTTCGACGCCGCTCAGTGTCGGCACCCGATGTGACGTAGTAGGACGGTATACCTACCACCGACGGAAGAGGTTATTGGTGGAGGTTGAGGGCGACTTGCGTCAGCTTCGACGCATGATGAGATAGTTAGATCTCGAGCATCTCACAAAGGGCCCACCGTACTCTCACTGACAGTTAGGGTGGTCCAGAGATTTAGTCTTGAAATTGACACACTTATCCTAACTCCTATTGCCCTGTTCGTGATGTGTGCTGTTATTCTGGAGCGTGGCCCGTCTCATTGAATAATCCGCTGAATATCTTGTAAAACGACAATTTTTGAGGCAACTCGTCTAGAATGATTCACTGCTTCAGGCCAGTTGTGCTCAGGCGCACAGCAGCTGACATATGGAAGTTTGAACATTGTATGGTTGACAGTGCTCACACCGTAGCTACCTGATCCCAGCGCAGGAGAAAACCACTTCATTGGCAGCATAACTGTGAATTTGGGGTATCTATGTTTCTCAAAGTACACTTTAGCACACGTTGCTTTCAACGAGGTCGTGTTTCCTCGTTCGCGTGCTTCCCTCCCCTGAATTCATGGGTCGCCTTCTATCGTGGGGCCCTTTCGTCATGGCATGTATTTCGTGTCCACCTACATTCACCAATAAATATCAAACAGAAATGACAATGCTCTGAACTTTAGATTCGTGAAATGACCCCTAGAGTTCGCTGTGCGAAGGCGAATAGGAAGGCAAGATGGCCTCGCCGGTGACACGCTCAAACTGCTGCAGGATGAATCTGGCCAGGGATTCGAACGGCTTCTCGGGATAGTCTGAGCCGTTGTAGTGGAGATGCGCGAGAAGGGAGATCATGCTGATGAAACTAGCGATGGAAAAGATGTTGATCGAGGTGGAGGTTTCCTTTTGGATGTTTATGCTTCGTTGGGTGATGTGGTATGCTATCGTAAGGGTCTGTTATGCGCGCGGAGGGCAAGATATTAGCTGTTGTTCAACTAATGCTTTCGGGAGGGGGCCCAGGTATAGAAAGCTGCTGGGGGAACAGGAGAGCGTTCGACTGACCGTAGCTATGGTGACCCAGCCGGGGAGTAGGAGTCTTGGGTCCTCGAAGCCGCCTGAAAATGTGAGGATTCGTTCGGTGAGGAAGGCGTTTGTAGAGTTGATTGTTAGGAGGCGGATGATTGTCGCTTGCGGGGTGTAGTTGATGAGCCTGGTTGGTGTTAGACGAGCTTTTTCGGATACGGAACACAGCATGTAGAGAAGGGAGGCGCGCTTCACCCACTTACCATCGTGACATCAGGCAGTCTATGAAGAAGAAGGAGAGGTACGCTGAAGCTCCGCACTAACACGATATTCAAGTCAGCGTGTTAGATCATCTTTCGGGGGCTAACTCAACGGCACAACCCAGCGTAGGCCATTGTGTGCTCGACCAGAGAAGAGCAATGCTTCCACATACCCACATGAGTCCCAGGGACATTTCAGTCCATGGGAATGGTATCTCGGGGTGTCCGGGGGGCCAATTGGGCGGGGGACACGTGCTACCCGCGAACCCGCCACCGACGACGCCGCCGACCCCGACTCCAGAGGCCGCCGCAGCGGCAGCATCAACAGCCTTCTTGCCCCCCGGGACGGCGACGGGGATTATCTGAACGAGGAGAGTCAGGGCGGGCTGCAGGGCCCAAAAGATGGCCGGACCGATGGAGAGGAGGCGGCAGGCGAAGAGCCATGGCCGCCATGGCTTAGGAACATTGAGGACGACGGCGATGCGGGGTTCGAGGAGGGAGGAGGAGACGAGGTCCGGGTTGTAGGGCGGCGGGTGGCCGGAGGTGGTGTCGTCTACATTTTGGTCTGGAGGAGCGCCGTTCGTGGGGATCGGGGTACCGTTTGTGTGGTGGTGTTGGTGCTGGTGGTGGTGATTTGAGACGGCGCGCGCGAGGGGTGCCATCTAAGCTCTGTGAGGCGGTGGTGTTGCGGCGGATTGCGCTGCCATTGATGGAGGGGATTCGGATGCGGTGGTCTGCGGCTGCGGCGACGGCGGCGATGGCGGCATGGGGATTGGAAAAGTGTCGAAGGAGGCAAGGGCCAGACGGAGAGAAGAAGAGAGCGTGTGATGGACGAGAAGGAGGCTTAGGCTCGAAGCTATTGTGAGTTGGTCGACTGGTCGTTGAGTCCGGTATCCGTAGGCGTCTAGGCCTTTTGGTACCTTGAACCCCAAGGTAGGTAAGGTTGGCGAGTAGCGTAGTGTAGCAATAGAGCGGAGCGGGTTTCTGGAAGTTTGGAAGAAGAAAAGCCCAGTCGAGGACTACCTAGTGGCAGACAAAAAGGTAGCCTGGCACACTGGTGCTTCCAAGATTGTGTCTCGGCGTCGTGCTCCAGCACTTGGGATTGGGTGGTCCTGCAGCTCGTTTCTGGGGGCTGCGGTCGATTTTCTCCCTCTATTCTTGTTTTTTGGACAGGAATGTTCCAAGGAACGGAGAGCACCCGAGAGTTGGAGGCGGCCGGGATGTAAATGAGGGGATTGGAGCTCAAGTGCGAAGGGACCCTTTTTGGGGGTTTATTCGGAGGACGGACGAAGACGAAGACGAGGAGGGGAAATGGAAACCAAGTCAGGTTGGTAGGTCGCGTGCCGTTGCCCGCAATTGTGTCGACAAGTGTCAATTGCGGGAATGTGTGTGTGCGTGAGATAATACCAAAATGGCCGAGTCTAGCTGGTCCAGAAGCTGAGCTATTGGTCAAAGTTGCAGACCAGATTAGAAAAGAAAAAAGGTTTGGATTGATTAATGAGGATTCCAAAGAGGTGAAGCATCCATCCTCCCACCTTCCAGGTTCGCTACCTCACATTATCTTGATTGCTACGTCGTCCCTGAGTACTGGGCTGGGCACTGAGCACCGAGCAGCACGAGCAGGTACAGGTACGTTTTAGTCGGGCTTCCCTTGTGGATGCGGAATTGAGACAATGACAGCAGGGTCCTGCCCGACCGTGGGTAAGGTACGTATACGTAGCGTAAGGTACGAATGCCTCTCTCCCTCATTGCGGAGTCCGACACACACATCATGAACGGATACCACAACCCTGCGAGTGCCTGCTTCGTCGTCATTTTTGGAAGCAATTATCCACTCGAGGTGGCTTGATGATTATCGACGTTGTTATTGGTGTAAGTCGACTTCAGCGGGGGGGAGAGCAGAGCTTCTCGAGCCACAGTGTGGCGCAAATGACTATCGCGGCAAGAACATGAGCCGTGCACTCCGCAGTTTGCAAAAGATGCCATGGCCGAAGCGCTTGCCGCGGAGGATTCCGACCGAATTGTGGATCCTCGAGAAAAATGTCCCCCGAAAGCTTGGACCATCCATTTTTCCAATTGGAATTTTTGGTCAGCAGATAGGTGCGTGTTCGTGATAGAGCTCTCCGGGAAGGACAGGACGACCTGTTTGGAATCAGACCATTTCCAGAGTCCACCTATTCCCGTACTTGACGACGACGACGAAAACGGCGACTTCGAACCTGGCATAAGCCACGAACACGAATCGAGACCGATTGACCTACCCGTCGCGCGCCATGTACCGATCCGCGAGGCCGCTGCTCGGCCTCGGCAGCGCAGCCATGCGCCCCCAGCAGCCCTTCACCAGAGTTCTCCCCGCGGCCAAGAGGATAGCAGTGTCGCCTGCCGTTACCGTGACGGCGACGAGGGGCTACGCAAGTAAATTTGCAGCGGATATGCGGATGAGTTCGCGCCAGAACAAGAAAGCTTCGCAGGGCGATGGCGGGTATTCTGCCAGCGAGATTGAAAAGTCCATGACCATGGCACACATTATGCTCCCAGGTGCGTTCCCAGTGTCGAGACAGTGTTGTTGAACAAGCGCACTTTCCACGTGGAGGGAACGAAGGAGGTGTCAGGAAAGAGAAAGACAGAGGATGGCTCGTTAACACGGCACTCACAACAGGAACCTTTGTCACCGTTCCCTTCTCCCAACTCGACAAGTCCCCCAAGGCCCTCTGGGCATACACCTACGCCCGCCTCAAACAACGCGTTCAAGACTTCCTCGCCGTCTTTGGCGCAAAGGTCGCCTCCATGCCGACCTGGACCACCAAGCCGCGCTGCCAGCTCAGCTACACCAAGATCGTCCCCGAAGCCAAGGCCCTCCACCGCAGCCTGGGCGAGGCCCTGGCCGCGGGCGACAAGGACACCCTCCGCGAGATCTGCACCCCGGCCCTCTACCAGACCCTGTCGGCCGTCATCTCGCGCCGCAAGGCGACGGAGAAGCTGACGTGGGAGCTGCTCCGGTACGACGGCAAGCCGCGCATCGTGAGCCACAAGGTCGCGATGATGCCGCCGTTGGGCAAGGCGCCGATCATCCAGCAGGTCGTTGTCGCCATCTCGAGCTCGCAGAAGCTGGATAAGATTGATAAGTTGACGAACAAGCCCGTCAAGGGCGGGCTGCGGGTGCAGAATCAGACAGAGTACTTTGTCATGACCAGGCAGTTCAACCCCAAGACGTGGGAGCCCAAGAAGTGGATCGCGTGGGGCAACACGCAGGCCACGACGATGGAGGACTGGAAACTGATCCAGAAGGGCATGAGGGATATGGAGAGGAAGGATTATTCCAAGAGACGGGGGGAACGTCTGTGAGGCCTGATCACTTCTTGCTAGAAGTCAGTTGGGGCAACAACGGCAGAGGTGGTGGCGGACATGTGTATGAGGAGTAAAACAAAAACATGTAATGAGTGTATTATATGTGTCTGATTAAATGGCTGGCTATAGAACGAGCCTGATTGCATAGGAGCAGAAGACTCTCCGACCACCAAATACAAGAATCAAAATCTCCCCCTTCTCCCCCTTTTTCTAGGGTAATATTCCTTTCCGTGGGTATCTATTCCACTGTCCATAAATTGACATGGAGTACCGCGTAAGAACCAAGTAGTGCTTCAGAAAGACACTTTTGGATCGCTTATGCTTTGCTTACTCTTGAGGAGCATGCTCACTTTTGACATCGAGGCATGGGCCCTCAGAAGAACTTGCCAGCGGGCTTGACGACCTCGACCTCGGAGTTGGCCTCATACTCGTCCCTCTCAACGTAGCGAGGGGCGCCGTCAGCCTCGGGCGTGAACCCAGGCCCAACAGGCCGATCCAGCGCGTCGAAGCGACGACCGCTCTTCTTGGCCAAGACATACTGGAACGCAAGCCGGCACCCCAACGCGCCGAAACCCCAGAGGAAACTACCCACCGGCGCAGCGACAAAGGCGCCAAACACGCTCCAGTCGTTGGCGTACAGGCCCTCGGAGATGATGAGCAGGTTGCCCGCCTTTTGCGCGTCGCCGTCGTAGAAGACGAGACCAAAGAGAAAAACGGTGAGGATGCCGCCCAGCCCGCCGGCGACGACCTCGAAGCCGCGCCACCAGTAGAAGCGGTCGACCAGACCGAACACGAGGACGGGGATGACGGAGGCGGAGACGAGGTCGGAGATAAGGTAGATTTGCAGAACCGAGGGGGCTTTAAGGGCGATGACGACGGTGGGGAAGATGATGAGCACCACGCCGGCGCGGATCCACCAGATGTTGAGGCGGTTGCGGAAGAGGTCGTTTGAGGCGGAGGAGACCATTGCGGATTGCAGGCTGTCGAACGCCGCGGTGGAGAGTGTGCAGACCATGACGAGGACGATGCCGACGACCCAGGCGGGGAGTTGTTGGAGGAGTAGGAAGAAGGCGATGGAGCCGCTGTCTGCGATTTGGTCTAGCGGGAGGGCGCCGGACCAGGCTGCGACGAGGCCGGTCACGCCGACCATGGTCAGGATGCAGAGGATGATGACGACGGCGATGGAGACGCCTACGCGGAGGTCTTTATCTGTTTTGGAGGCGAAGGTGCGGAGCCAGAAGCCCGAGAGAAAGAAATCGTTTGTGAGGATGCAGATGGGGAGGATGTAGAGGAGTTGCCAGCCTAAGAGGGTGGGTTTGAGGAGGCCCGAGGTCTCGATTAAGGAGGTGTCGATGTCGGTTTTGACGCCCATTGTGATTGCGACGATGATGATGAGGCAAATTACCATTGCGCCTTGGATGTTGTCCGTCACAAAGGAGATGCGGAAACCGCCGAGGGCTGTTGGGTGGTTTGTAAGTCAAGAGTGTCTTGTTTTTTTGGATTCCAAGTACCCGTAACTTACATGTGTAAATAGTGGTGATAACGCACTGCACAATCATGACGGGCAAGCCATCCAGACTCGTCAGGGCGTTGACGACTTGCCCGATGGCGGATAGCTCGGCGACCATGTACAAGAATAGCGTGACGAGGGTCATGAAGCTGAGGTAGAGCATGGCGACGGTGCCGTAGCGCTGCCTCGTCCAGGCCGTGAGGACGAACCCCTCGGGCGTCTTGCGGCGGATGACGGGGCCGAGGACGGCAAAGATGAGGAGCGGGAGCGAGGACGAGAGGGCGTAGACGAGGACGCCCTGGACGCCGGTGATCGTGGCGAGCTCCGGGTAGGAGAAGAGAATGCCGGAGCCGAGGGCTTGATGAAGTGTGTTAGTACTTCACGAGGGCTGGGGCAAGGTATAAAGGGGGGAGGGGAGGGGGGGAGAGATGTTCGGAGCGGCAGCACGTTTCCCACGCAAGCATTAACTTGATCGAGTAATTACGGTGCAATCTCAGCTTCATTTCCACACGTCGCGGCATCTCCTCTTCTGTTGTGTCGTCCAAGAAGGCCCTCCAAAAAGGACTTTCCAGAGACGATGAGAACGGAAGAGGGTGGATGCGCGGCGACTGCTTCAAATCCGCGCCCGTAGTGAGCCGCATCCCCGATGATTCCATCTCCCCCCACCCCCTTTTTTCTAATAGCATCTTCAGAAAGGGGGGGAGGGTTTCCCATAGAGTATTCTGGCCACGCTCAAGGTTTGCCTCATAGTGGCCAGAAAGGTTAGTAGGCTTGTCTCCCCAATTCAGAAGATGAGATTAGAAAAAAGAGGATGGGGGAAATGGAAGTCGAGGAGTAATTGTTGATCTTTTGTTGTTGGGTTACGAACCTGCCTGTCAGTCATTCGATTGGATTCCTCGCCCGTGGTCATTCGTCTCATGATTACTCTGCTCATGAAGAGAATCGGGGATAGAGAAGTCGATAATCCCATGTCATCTGTTGTAGGCTTGCGTTGTGCTGTGTGGTTCGTGGGAAAGTTGTCTCGTAGTCTTTGCTGTCTTCCGTGCCGTTCTGCCGCTCTTCTTTCTCGAAGAAGATGCTTTTTGCTATTGGGTTAAGAAGCGCAGTGGCTAGACCGTCTGCGTCTTCTTCACTCACCAGAGGCGATGAAGTTGAGGGCCAAGGGGAAGGCTGCGGGGAGGGTGCGTTAGTTTGCTACACATTGGGGGATTCGAATAAGAGTAGAGCGTGTTGACTGTATGTCGAGGGAATGAGAGCCAAGTGTTGCAGATGCGGTCAGGTATAAGAGGCTCGGCCTCATCTGACCCCATCAAACACATGGACTCTCACACTCGCTCTCACTCTCATTCTCATGATGCAAAAGGGAAGAGTTCCTGACCCGTCTGAGTTCTATTTCCAGACAGGAACTCTCCCTTGGACTGATTGCGGAACTTCCACGCAATGGCAGTGCCGATGATACTGCAAAAATGTTAGCATCTTGTACTCTCTAAAAGTGATGGGAAATAGCAGCGATGGAGAGGGTTGAGTTTGAGAGAGCTGCGTAGAGTTCATACAGGAAGAGTCCATAAGTGACGTAGATGAGGGCGTTGGACGCCGCGAATGATGGCTGGCCCATGGTTGCAGCTTAAGGGCGATTGTCGATCTAGAATCTTATGCGGTAAAGAGCAGGTTAGGAGGCTGCGGCGCAAAAGTTGCAATGAAATTTCAATCTCTGTCAAACGTCGTGAGAGAGAAAGAGAAGTCAAAAGGTGACGATGATACAAAGCGCGTAGCGTGAGTAACAAGCGAGATTTGCGCGCGAATAAAAGTAGACGATTATTAGAGAGAAAAAATCCTCTCACGCTCGGCGAATTAGATAGTCAGATAGTGACATGGCTAGACCCGGAGCAGCGTGGTTTGGCATTGGGTAACCACTACACCGGGTGCACCACCACATTCTAATCCTCTGATGGGATTAGCTTATGGTCTGAGAAAGAGTGGATATCTTTGCTCCGTGGTGTGGGGGGCTGTCAAAGTAAAGTCGCAGCGATCAACTGGCTGACTGCGGCGACGGGCCATTCAGAGCTCTTTGCTTGGGTTCTTGGTGTGGCGCCGCGTTACCGATGTGGATGGGTCCAGAGGTGGTGGGGAGTCAGTTGTGCCGTTCTTGATTCTCTTCTCTAGTCTTGGTTCTGGAGCGTCTGCTTCAGTTACGAGGACTCGAGGAGACTTTATGTTGGTTTGAGTGAGGAACAATCTGCCATGAATTGTCAGTACTCAAGGAATCCGTTCCCATGATACGATAAGACCTTGGCCTGAGATGCGAGGTACCGTAGAATTCAATTGTCAAGTTCGAGTACGTACCCATGTCTTAGGTAATCATATTGCAGGGTCGAGCCACCGGGCCATGGAGGGAAGGGACGCCGCGCCGCGCGTGACTGCCACAATGCCTGGGCGCCCGGTCTAAGCCCGTGCATCTTCCGATATGTAACGACCACAGTGCCGAACATCTTCGGCCCCGGGACGCTGTACTGGCCGATTTCCCCCAGTTTGAAGCTATTTTGCGATGTAAAACCTCCGAAAGCAGTGAGCTTCCGGTATCTCACCGGAAAATGCGGGACCGATACGGAGGTCACCAAGGCATATTCCGATTCCAACAAGCGCCGTAGACAGCCGTTGTCACGGCTACCGGTACTCTAGCCTCGCAAGACCACCCCAAAACCTCAGATCTCAGCTGTTCAGTGGCTTATCCTTCCGTCAGCTCTTGTTTCGGTCTGAACGTCACTGGCTGGGCCACAGGCACGCGCGCGTCTCAGGATCTTGGTGCCGTGTGGAACGCGGATCGTGGATCATCGCGGCTGTCTGTCTTACCACTGAATTACCCGTGTCAATTCGAGATCAAGGTATTCGCAACCACTGTTTGTTCCGAAACCTAGGTCTTCTTCCCCCTCTTTCTACCATGCGATAGCTACCTGGCGACCTCGTGTCCAGGCTGGGCACGTCTCGACCTGCACATGGGATGCCATGCGTTGTATCGCTCACTACGGAACGCAAATGGGTCATGAAACTCTGTCTTCGATCGTCATTTGTCAAAAAGGCTAGACAGATCTCCAGGCTCTGATCCAGTTGCCACAGCTTGCCAACCCCTCCAGATTGCTTCATGTCTGAGATCTGAGACTTGGCATTCCATAACCCGTGGCAGGATCGATGCTCGACTCAGTACGCCACTACGCCGCGAAGCCGATATCGAAACTTGCGTCGAGACGAGAGAGCCTTCGTCGGTTTGCATCCATTGCACAGACAGTCAATACCTTACGCTAGCATAACCGCGTCGCTCACCAAGCTCATCAAGCAGCATAGAGGATGCACCACGATATCTCGAAAGACGAGTCATATCCTATCCGGCATTAAGGCGATCGGTTCAACCGACCATTACACGCGTAAAATAAACAAAATCCAACCAAGGTGAGGATTCAAGAAAAAACACTTTTTTTTTGTTGAAGGTCCCGCTTCCAAAACTCCAAATGCAACCGCCATCGAAGGACATGATCCAGTCCAAAAAGTTGTTTTCAAGCACATAAAATCAAATGGGTATAAGGTGCGCCGCTCCCAGTTGCTCTAATAAGCCATAGACGTGCCTGGCCACACGACCCCAATTACCGCCCCGTGTATACCGATACGCCTTGGGAGGATCCATCTCTCTCTCTCTCTTGCCCTGGAAATAAGTTTTCGCGCCTTTCGATGAGCGGTTTTGGTCGAACAAATACATGATTAGGAAAAGGTTGTGTAGGTGTTTCTGTCATCTTTCACGGTTCGTTTCAACGACACCGGAAGACGATGCTGATGATGGTGGTGGTGGTGGTTGGCGTCGCTCATTCCTGGTTGGGATCGAATTTGGACCGGTCAATCATGTGCTCCCAGGGCACCTCGGTCTTGACGCCCTTCTTCATACAGCTCTTGCACACAGACGAATCGTAGTCGACCTGCGTCACCACCACCTTGCACCGCTTCTGCGTCTGGCTGTACCGGTAGCACCACTCGGAGGCGCCCGTGAAGTGGTGCCCGCAGGCGTAGTTGCGTCGGTACCACTCGCACATGACGGGCGGCGCGGGGCGGTGGGCGGTGGCGGCGGCGGCGAGTGAAGAGATATTGATGAAACAGAGACAGAGCGGAGGTTGGCGGTAGCTATAAGAAGCTATCGAAATCTTCTTCGTCAGCATCGGACTTCTTCATCAACAGACGTCGGAACCTACAAGACGGTATTGTATGTATGTGTGTGTGCGTGTGTGTGCGTGCGAGAGGTTGATTTAGACTGAAAAGAGGGGACTTGGCATGACAACTCGGTCAAGGCAAGTTGCAAGGGCCGACAGATACCGGTGAGCGAGAGCAGCCTGTCAAACGACGTCCCGAGGTGATGGTTCAAGCGGGTATATGTAAGATCTTAAGCTCAGGTGGCTGCAGGAGCGGGATCGATACGGCTTAAGGGGAAAAGGTCCGAGGGTAATTATTGTATAAGATCTCAGAAAAAAAGGTTGCCGCTTAATACCTACCCTTCCCATCCCTCGATCCCATACCCCCCTCCCCTTCGATATTCTGCCCACCCTCTATCTGGGATTACTTAGCGGGCGTATGTGCTGGATGAGAAGGCATGGGCACAACCTGCGGGCCTGGCCTCGAGAAAACGGTTTCTTTTGGGAAAGAAAAAGGCGGGGACTACGCATGTACACATCCATTTTGTTTGTGTTGCGTATCGATGATGAGAGTCCGCCAAATTAACAAGGGAAAAGGTGGATGTTTTTTTGCCCTTGTCTCAAACCAAAAGGAAAAAAAAGGTAGGATAATTAGCCTTCATTTTCCCTCTTACTCTTTCTCTTCTTCCTCATCAACTTCCCAAAAGCAATCAGCCGGGCCTATTGCTCTCGCCCCCTTCCCCTTCTCAAGGGCCCTTGTGGAAAGCCGCTGGCACGACTGGGATCCGTTTGTCTCTCTTCGTGCCGTTTGCCGCATTCTTTTTTCTTCGGCCGTGGCCAGGCAGCCCCCAGGTTGTGTTTCCAAGACCAGACCACGCCTGGTTGTCACCGACGACACGGGTGGAATGAGTTGATTCGAGTCAGCAAAGTACGGATACCTACTCCCGAGGGGGCATGGGCAAAGGGCCATTCTGTTCAGCGGATTTCCTTGTTGCAAGGAAGGACCAGAAAGAAAGGAAAAAAAGGAAAGAAAAAGCAAGTGTCCGATCCACGAACTTGGAGGGATCACGAATGGTTTTTCCCTCCTTTTCTGATGATTTCCTTGGGACCAACCTCTCCCGGCGCTACTATCTTCGGAAGACGGCAATCCCAGCGAATAATAGAGGGATTCCAGCACTTTTCTGGTCTTTGTTAGAGAAGAGACTCGAGAAGACTCGATAGTGACAGTGTAACGAGCCGCAGTGGTCACGGAGCTTCAGGCCAATGAACCAGAGCTATGGGCGATTTGCGGGCGGGAGTGTGAAATCTCATTTTCTGCATGAATCCCTGTCTGGCATATCCCCGAGAGACGTGCGTGGTATCGAAGATTGGGCAGCGAGATGAAGGGGAAGGGGGAGGGGAGGGGCCGCGCCAGGCTTGCTGTTTGATACAACTACTGTGTAGGTAAGGTACGGATACTGGCACACTTGGGCTTCAGGCACCATGTTTCTCTCTCGGTTCCCCCAAAAACAGAGGAACTCTCACAAAGGTGGCGCTGTCATGCGGCGGAAAGGAAAAAGTGAAATATGACGGACGTCCCGAGATGGGGTATCCGCGCGATTGGGGCGGACGATCGCCCGGGTAATCCACCCCGGCGAGGAGGCCAGGGTTGTCAACATTCCTCGAAATGGGGTGTCCACAGAGACGGGGCGGAAAAAGAAAACATTCGTGGCAACGATACCTAGCATGAAGTGAGGGACAACCCACCACCAAGCTGGCAATCCCACGCCCACAGCAGCACGGTAGCACGAACTGACACCATACCATACATATTTCGCTTCTCCTTGCACTTCTCACTCTTCTTTTTTCTCCTTCCTGTGCGACCAAGAAGCAGAGCAGAATCTTCAAGGAGCACCCCCCCCCCCCTTATGACGCTCATGCTGAGATACTATGACGGATTGCTACAGACACATACACACGCTTCTCTTTGTCACTCACACATACTGACCTACCTTAGTGTTGCCAGTGACACATATGGCGGAATATCTGGCTGTACCTCATAGTAACTGCAAAGACCTTCGAGCCTTGCCAAGAAGAGTAAGACATGATGGGGGACAAGGCACGCAGAGCCAGAACTGGGGTAACGGGAGGGACATGAGGGAGAAGCAAAACCTTGCTATAAATGAATTGTTGATCCATCTTATTGCGGGCATATAAAAAAAACCCTCAAGAGACTTTTTGGAGGGGCGGCCGGGCCTTGTTTTCCTTTCTCTCTCCCTTGCCCTGAGGATCAAAGACAACAAACTCCAGCTCAGCTCATGCTCTCCACCCCCATTCCCGTTCTGTCGCCTCTGCAGCCCAAGCCAGCCCTGCCAATTTTAGGAAGTTTGGGACGTATCCGGTACGCACGCAGCCAGCATCAGCATCGGAACAGCCCGTGTGTGTCGAGTCGTGTCGTGTTAGTCGT